CAGGACTGAAAATTTCATGAAAATCAATACCAGGAGTTTGAGTGTAGCCTTTGGCTACAAGCCGAGACTTGTACCTGGAAACAGATCCATTGGGATTATACTTGGTCTTGTAGACCCACCTGCAACCCACAGCTTTTCTCCCAGGAGGTAAAGGAACTATATCCTAAGTGTGGTTGTTGAGCAAAGCTGCATGTTCAGTCTCCATAGCTTGTTTCTAGTGTGGTATATGAAGGGCCTCAAGATGGTCAGTAGGCTCAAAAGAGCTGAGGGTAGAGGAATAAATCTTGGGCTTGAAAATGCCCCTCTTTGATCTAGTCAACATGTGATGTTGGTTAAGAGGTGGTGGGTCAGCAGTGGTGGTGATGGGATGGAAAACATCATGTGATAAGGAATCAGCTGTAGAGGGTGAAGTGGTAGGGGTGTGAGCATGAGGTTGTGAAGCAGTTGGAGGTGGGCTATGAGGTGGTGTATTATGTGATGATGGACTAAGGGGTGGTGTGTTATTTGAAGGTGGATCATTTGATGTTGTGTCACTTGATGAAGCAGGTTGTGAAGGGTTATGTAATGTGGGAATTGAATTTGAGACAGATGAATTATGCATAACAGTTCAATACAATGATGCTCAGTTTGCTTAGGAATTTTAAAAGAAAAACAATGTTCATTAAAAACAACATTTCGATTGACAATAACTTTCATAAATTTGAGAAGAATTTTATACCCCTTAAATTGAGTACTGTATCCTAACAGAACTCCTTGAGTGGACCTTAAGTCAAGTTTGTCTTTTACATATGGTCTGAGGTGAGGATAGCAAGCACAACCAAAGGTTATGAGATGTTTGTAACTAGGCTGAGTTCCATAAAGCTTAAGAAAAGGACTTAGAAAGTCAATGGTTTTATTAGGAAGACTATTTACAAGATAGGTGGATGTACTAAAGGCCTCTTCCCAAAATTTTTTAGGGACACCTGAATGAGAAAACATGCTAAGGCCCACTTCCACAATTTGTCTATGCTTCCTCTCCACTAAGTCATTTTGTTGAGGAGTATGGAGGCAAGAAATTCTATGTATGATGCCAGAATCTGTGAAAAGTTGGGTAAGGGGTTTAAATTCAGTGCCTCTATCACTTTACACCATTTTAATCTTTAGGTTCAGTTGATTTTCAACTAAGTTTTTGAATTGAGTGAAGGCTGTGATGGTATCTGACTTTTGTTTAAGAAAATAAAGCCAAGTGAATTTAGTAAAGTCATCAACAAAAGCTACATAATAGAAAGAGCCTGAGGTTGATTTTAATGGAGCTGGCCCCCATAAGTCAGTGTGAATAAGTTCAAGAGGTTGCTTTGAAGTGTGTGTGGAAGAAACAAAAGGCAATCTATGAGACTTAGCTTGCACACAATCAGAACATAAACCTTTATTATTGACATAAGGAAGATTACAATCATGCAAAGCCTTTTGAGTCACATCAAAGGAATGATGACCTAATCTTTTATGCCAAAGATCTAGAGGTTTAACTGAACTAACAACATAACACTGAGCTTTAAAGTATTTTTGAGTGTCTTGATTGGAACATCTACTCTCTTCTTGGGAAGGTAATCTATTGAGCTTGAAGGTGTAAAGGCCATCTTTAAGGGTCCCTTTGAGAAGAGCCACTCCTGTAGTTTGGTCCTTGACAACACAAAAATTTTGGAAAGAATTCAAAATAAACATTGTTATCCTTTGCAAACTGAGCCACACTAATAATATTCTTAGCAATATCAGGAACATGAAGCAAATTTGTTAACTCGAAGGTGTTTTGTGTGTCAAAGTGTTTGGCTGTAAAGGATCCCTTACCAACACGAGAAATTTTCAACCCATAGTCATTTCCAATTTGCAGCTTGCTTGGACCACCATGTTCAGATGCAATGCTTAGATTACTGAAATCATTGGTCACATGATGTGTGGCACCTGAATCTGGAAACCAGTCATTCTCATTGTTGATGTCTTTTGAAGCATACATCATTGAGGATTGGTTGACACTTTTGCCATCGTTGTAGGATCTTTGTTGTTGTGACTGAGGCACAAATTCAATGATAAATCTATTGTAACACTTGTCAGCTGTGTGGTTTGTATAACCACAGATTTGACACTGCACTCTATTTCCAGAATTTCTGCCTCCTCTTCCTCTTCTTGTCCTCCCTCTCCCTCTAAAGTTCTGCTAGTTTCCTCTTCCTCTACCAGAGAAGTTGTTGTTGAAGGATTTCCCTTGTTGAACTGCCACATTGGCACTTGTGAGAGCTGTGTTTTCTATCACAGAAGTGGTTGCATGCAACCTGCTCTCATATGTGAGCAAGAGAGAGAGAGAACATCCATCATTGTGAGGAGATCTGGCCTTGCATTGATGCTGACTACAACAACATCATACTCTGAACCTAGACCACTGAGCACATGCATGATTTGGTCTTGTTCTGAGGTCTTGTGCCCTCCTGCAGCCAAGGTATCACAACACAACTTCACCTTGTTAACATACTCTCGTATACTCAAATATCCTTTTTTGAGATTCTGAAGTTGGATCCTGTAGTGCATTGTTCTTGCTCTTGACTGTGTAGAGAAGCTTGCTTTTAGGCTCTGCCAGATCTGGGAGGGACTGTTCATGCCAACCACTTAAATAAGTACAGATTCTAATAGAGAGGACAATAACCATGATGCTAAGAGCTGGTCCTATCTTTGCAGTGAATAAAGGCTGGATTTGTCTGCAGCAACCCCTCTTCTTCTCTAGGTATGAATCTGGTGGGTATCGCCATAGATCCATCAAGATAGCTCTCTAAACCAAAGCCTCTTACAGTGGTGAGGACCTATTGCCTCCAGATAAGATGATTTTCATCAGTGAGTTTGGTGGTAATGATCTGGTTATGCAGATGTATGGGTTGTAGGGTCGAGGTGAGATTTTGATTTGAAGATGATGAATTTATTGAGGTTGCCATGTTTGGATCTGAGGTGCAAAGCAGGTTATCCTTGCTCTGATACCATGTTGGACTTAAAACAAATCATGCCTTTAGATTTGATAAGGAAATGTTTAACCAAAAGAAGAAAAACTCAAAATAGGCAGGTTATGCCTTTGCTTTTCACTGTATAGGTGATACATCAAAACCTAACGGGTAATGTCTATATACAAGATAATAGACCTCTCTAGACCCTATACTAGATAAGATTAACCTAGTACAATGAGCTGGAAAATAGGGAACAAAATGCCAAGAAAGCCAAACGGCTGTAAGGTGCTCCCAGGCCATGCAGGATGCATGCTATCATGCATACGTGGAAAATGACAAAGAAATAAATGTTTAATTATCCTCCAACATATATATATTTATATGTATAT